GTCATAGGTAAATATGCTCTAAGTTCTTAAAGAAGAATTTGTCTATTGTATTTGTTTTTCTGACTGTCTAATTGTTGTGCAGTCCAAACAATGTGAATTCGAAATCCTGTGATAACCAGAAAGTCACAAAACCTCGTTTCCCATCTCCCAAAAGGTACTCATCTTCCTCCCCCTGAATTAACCATGTGGTAAACTGCAGGCGTTCATTTGCATTGTTCTAATGTTATTTTTCCTATGTCTCCTTTGTATTGCTGCTGTTGCTAATGGCTCTTAGCCAGCCCAAATCTTACAATTACAAAGAGGTATTGTTAATTTGCCATCCATATGTTCCTCATAATTAAGTTCACTGATGCTATTACTATCTGTGACACTAACAAACTTCATCTCTCACAGGACCCTGATGAAGGTGATGACTACATTAATACCGCAGACCTCAACATCTATGGAAACATCTGAAAAACAAACAAAAAAAGAAGAAGAAAAAAAGCCAGCAATTAATGTTCTAATAAATTTAAATAAGTATAAAACAAATCTATGTGCACTCTTTATGATCACTTGTCCTTGGGATTTCTCATGCATGTTTCTTGTGATGATGTCTTCTGTCCATTAATTACTATAATCCTGTAATTTATGTTGTTTGGTGTAACAAATGCTTGTATCCATAATTCTGCAAAATAATATTTGTAAAAATGCTACTCATGTTTTGGCTGAATAAATCAACATGAACCTTTTTTTAACTGACTTGAATGCTGTTTTGTTTGACCCCAGGGTTTGGCTGAGGGAGTCCCTTTTCAAATCATCACTGCTTTTGTATATATGTATATATATGTAATTTCACCATGATTTCATATTAAATTACCTAGATTTTATAATTCTTTTAATGTGCACATAGAAGGGAGCATAGCGAAAATTAATAAACAACAGTTGGCTGAAACAAGAGACACTGAATGCCTCGGTGAAAATGTCAAAGAATGAATCAAACAGTCTAAGAGAGGAGTGAATGTTAAAATTAGAATCAAATCTTAGAGATTAAAATGCAGATTGTATCAACTATCTCCCCCCCCCAACAATTTCCAAACTAAGTTAAGCTAAACTAAACAGCTGCTGGCTCCAGTACTATATTTGTCTAACAGTTAGGATAGTATTTAATTTTTTTTTTGTCTTACTCTGGGCAGTGTTATGACAAGATAACTAACAAATGTAAGGTTCACCCACCCCCACCCCACCACAACCACAAACACCAGCACCACCATGCATCTGCACAAAGAAAACAAAACTGACTTCTAAAAATTTATGATCTCTCTCAGTTCCTTCAGTGCAAGCATAAAATTAGCCACTTCCTCCAACAATTATGAGAAGTTCCTCAAGAAGTTGGACTGACAAGTTTCACAAAGACAAGTCATACTTATCACCCTGAAGAGTTTAAAAGTGTAACTTATAAATTACTTATAAGTTACACTTATTGCATAAATCACACTTATCACACAAAGGGACATTTTGGGTTCTGGTCATATGTATTTATGAGCAAGAAAATTAAAAGATTTAATGTTTTTCTAACTGCACATTTGCACAATTGATTTTAAAAACCTTTTATCACAAGAAGGTCAGTGAGAAAGAGAACAAAGTGATAGTAACTGTAATTATTCAGTTATGCTTTTTTGAATTAAAATTAAACACTTTTTAAATTCTGTTGTTTTGTTAAGAAAATAACCACAACTTTAATAGTTTATTCAACCTGACACACACCATTAGGTTTTAGAGCTTTTCCCCACTTGTGGGTGGAAAATCATAACCTCCGCCCACACTGGGTGCTTAAAAAGCTGCATTTTTAGTGTTACTTGTATCTTCATGACTATTCATCTGTGTTGGTAAGTAAATCACTATTTTTTTTTCTTTTTGCTGAAGTAATATCAACAGATGTTTTTTTATTAGACAAAATTTGTTCAGAAAAAGAATTGTAGTTTTAAAATGTAGCATTCTCCACTTCTCCATTTTACAAATGGGGGCGGAGGGGATTAATGTTATATAAAGAAAAAAAATTTCCCGTAGGATTGTTTATATATATAATAATTGCCTTTTTTCTGGCGTGAAAACCTGTTCTGGTTGAATAGTCTTTCAGTCAGTAAGAAAGTGGGTTGGGTGCTGACTATATCCATAATGCTTTCCAAGTATTACCCTCTTAAAACCTATTAAAACTCTTTTTTTGTTTAAGTGACCCTAGAAAACAATGCTGTACCTACTACAGTCTGGAAAAACTCTGTAACAGTACCGTTTATATATTACTCGAAGACACCACTGTACCCCGATGCATACACTAGTAGGGATGGTACCATAATATAATAGAGATCAATCCCTTAATATTATATTATACTTAATTTTGGTGAAAATCAAGTGATGGTCAAGATCAAGGTAACACCAAACGTAAAAACTAGTAAAGACTTTATAATACATGTAATATCTTATGGATTGTCTTCAAATATAACAAGAAATACTAAGCCTAAGGGGTCATGAGTACGTGTATTGGCTAAGCATTTGATCTTGATCTTCATTGTTAGTGCCCAAGGTCAAAGTTGACCTTGAAAGTTTTTTTTTTCAAGAAACCACATCAAGTAATATGTCACATGACAGAATGTGGAGAGAGTAGCACAACACACATTTTATTTTTTCAATATGATACCCTATGACTTCACAAAGACAACGTAACTGACTGATGTCATCATATTGTAATAAAAACATCATAAAATGTCAAGGTTTTAGTAAGTTTATATTTCATATATTTGTTTCAGGAATGCTATACCATTAATAAGATGTCTGGGTCTGGACCATTTTTCCTGTGCATCTATAGCCTAGGTATGGTCATTTCAATATATATATATATA